CATACGGACACAGACAGTTGGATCACATGCGATATGTGCGATAAGTGTACCACCAGAAGTGTGCCCATGTCCCTCCTGGTTGCACTAGTTTCGTCTGTCCACTATGTAAGGGAGAACATAAGGCTGAGGGTAAGCCCCTCGCAACTTATTGGTATACTAGTAATGTTTCCTGCAGACCCCTATAGATCTCCGTCGTCTAGTATCCGACAAACGTATGATGAATCATTGCGGCCGCCTTTGTCCACTTTAACATTAGAAGAACGTGACGTACTTGGTAGAACTATTAATCAACGCCAGCGAGTTGGCATGTATTGAACCGCTCCGTCCCATTACTGTAGTGCCATTATTGTACTATTATCAGTAAAAATGCCTTTCTATATCGACTCCTTTCGTTGCAGTTAGAGAAATCTCCATGCGGGTGCTTTTTGGTGATAATAAGCCATACTGACTCAGGCAATATGGCTGTAGATTGACAACATGGAAATCTTCCGAGTGTGTCGCTCGCAGCAATCGCTCTTGCCGTTCGAACTTTGGATCCTCTGCTTGTTCGGACACAGGAGCGCACTTGGGCAGTGGCCGTTTGAAATTTCGCTACGGCACATGAAAATTAATGTCTAGGACAGTCTCGAGAGATTACTCCACAGCACTAACAGTTTGCGACCATCATCAGCCCACTTCCGATTATGTGTGTCAGCACAATAAAAACAGCTTATAAAGAATTTCTCATGTCTGGGAAACAAAATGGGACAATTTTATAATCACGAAGCACAATAACATTGTTTTTGAAATCACAAGTTTTTCTCATGCAGAGAAATCATTTCCCTCTGTTGCCCGTGCACCCAACTGACAAACTCAAAGCATGATCTACAAGTATGATGAAGCATAAAGTAATCACCCAAATCCGACAGTAGTTAGGTTATTGTCTAACCTCAAGACTACCTAGAGTCTCGTTATTTGGAAAATACAACAAATTCAGGATAATACAAATGAATAAATCATTTAATGGGCAATCTTTGCCTGAGTGGTAGCAATGAAGTTGCTGACCACACGAATGGAGTACTCGTTGTACTTGGCGAGTTGTCTCTTAGTAGAGGTAATCTGATCACCCTCCAACCTGTTAACCAAGGTCACACATACGCAAGCAGCGGGGATCTTGGCACGCTGGCAGAAGCCCATGAGGGCGACACTCTCCATCTCGATGTTGCGGACACCAGCATCATGTAGGCGATGGAGGAAGTTAATCTTATCCTCCTCAGTATACCAAGGGGTAAGAGCACCATCAGTTCGTCCCTGACCCTCGAAGAAATCATCAGCAGCCATGGTCTTACCCTTCACAACAGGAATATCCTCAGGGGCGCTGGCGATGATATCATCGACAAACTGCATATCGAGAACATCGGTAGGGATCTCGAAGACCTTACCGAGCTGCACAGTCCTCCAACAGGGCTTGATCTCATCATTGATGGCCTGAGTGGTGCATACAACGGTTCCGGGAGCAACACCACAGCCACCAGAAGTACCAAGACGGATCCACCTGACGGTATCGATGATACCAACATGATTACA